CGCATTTCTTCAGCAACGGCAATTAACGTTAACGATTCAGAGCTTGTGGCAACTAACATGAATCAAACGTATTCAACACAGTCTACTACATCTTTAGCAAAGATTGTTATCCCGTTAGGTCTCACTACTATTTTTACTGTTATTGGAGTACTGTTGATAATAATAAAGTCCAGACTCGGTCGGAAATACAGCTATTCGAGAATCCCAGATGAAGACTGATGAAACGCAATTACTTATGTTTTACAGAAACAATTATATTAACTGTGAATTAAAGATAATTACACTATTGGTAGAGGATAACAGACTTATCCTTTCTGAAAAGCAATATGAGCAACGATCGTAAGTAATTTCTGTAAAATACTCTGCAAAGTTAGTTTATCTACGGATTCAGTGGTTTATCAAATTGATAAGATCGTAAATGGAATTTACTATATCAGGTAAGCTTAAAGTCCCGTACAGTATTTACTATCGTACATTGTATTTGTTAATAATTATAATCTACAGTACAGTATTACATTGCTATAAATATCATTAAAATATACTATGTTGTATCTCCCCATTTATGCAGTACTGCAATAAAGCTTCGTATTTTAAACACATTACATAGGCGTAAAGTGCCTTTGCAATGCCTGACTCAGTGGATAAACTTGTAATACAGCAAGTCGAATCAGTAAAACATCGTATGCAGTTTTGTTTTGCGAAAAACTGATACAAGATTAGCTACATAGAACACTAGAAATTGAAGACCAATCGTTACTGGTTAGTGGCTACTCGATTTGGATACTGTTGTGCTTTTCTAAATGCATATTACGTATAAAAATGTAACGTACGTTAAGTACTGTACTGACAGTGATGAAGTTATCACTTTGAAGTAGTGAAAATAGTGTACTGTACAATGTGGCCAAACCATATCCGTAAATACTGTAGGTTAAGGTAGCAATGATTTGCGAGTGCCCAATACAGTATAACCTTGGGCTATTACATTTACATCTAGTAGTCCATGGTATAACTGTAGCACGGTGTTACAGTAAAGAATACCAAATGTGTAAAACAGATCTCGTATATCGTATCTCGTAAATCTTCATGGTACACTGAAACTCTTCTCATTAATTAATCTACGATATTGCATGAAGCACATCGCCTATCAATCGAAATTCATACTGCGCATGCGAGAATCGATAGTTGAGGAAATTTACTGTTTTACTGAATAAAAGCGTATAGCGGTAACCTTCCCTAATTCAAATCCATACTGCGCATGCGAGAATCGATTGTTAAGGAAATTTCAAAGACCGATTATCCGGTTTATCTTAGCCGTTTTCGACTGTTTATATGAGGAGTAAAATTCGAAATCGGAAAAAATACTCCAATAGCGTTTTGATCATATACCAGTCTAATCCACTGGGTCAATTGATCGAACAAATCTCTATCATCGACAGTCAGTTGATATAAGCCATTAGTAAGGCAGTAAATCGAACAATCTTGTCTCATTACTGCTAGACTAAGGCTATGTGACTGTAATCTATACAATTGCTGTAAGATCATTTCGATCGAACACAGTTGTATGCATCAATCGCGATGCAAATCGCTTACGATGTGGTTGTATGTGATAGGCAATGCCAATCTATACAAACCTAGCAAATTGAAACCTTGTGTTTCATCAAATACTGTGTATGCACTATGAATCTTCAACATTGATTTTATCAATCGATTGAAAAACTTCATGGGCTACCAGTAAGGAGAAGTGTCAAAGATGTGGCAAATAAAATAGGTATTTCTTACTTCATTCCCGTGACGGAAATGTCAAGTAAGATTAGATACCTTGATACAAATTGTTGTAGCACTATGAGCTATCATTGTATTTTGATAGTTCAACAGAGTAATTTATGGTTCAATTGTGCAAGATTGTACTTATTTTAAGTACTTGATTGTGAATTGAGTATAATTGCTTTGTGAATAGCAACCTGGTTGATCCTGCCAGTAGTCATATGCTTGTCTCAAAGATTAAGCCATGCATGTCTAAGTATAAGCACTTGTACTGTGAAACTGCGAATGGCTCATTAAATCAGTTATCGTTTATTTGATCGTACATTACTACATGGATAACCGTGGTAATTCTAGAGCTAATACATGCGAAAAGTCCCGACTTTGCGGAAGGGATGTATTTATTAGATCAAAAACCAATGCGGGCTTGCCCGGTGTTTGGTGATTCATAATAACTTATCGAATCGCATGGCCTTGTGCCGGCGATGCTTCATTCAAGTTTCTGCCCTATCAACTTTCGATGGTAAGGTATTGGCTTACCATGGTTACAACGGGTAACGGAGAATTAGGGTTCGATTCCGGAGAGGGAGCCTGAGAAACGGCTACCACATCCAAGGAAGGCAGCAGGCGCGCAAATTACCCAATCCCGACACGGGGAGGTAGTGACAAGAAATAACGATACGGGGCCATCTGGCTTCGTAATCGGAATGAGTACAATTTAAATCCTTTAACGAGGATCCATTGGAGGGCAAGTCTGGTGCCCAGCAGCCGCGGTAATTCCAGCTCCAATAGCGTATATTAAAGTTGTTGCAGTTAAAAAGCTCGTAGTTGGATTTCGGAATGAATCTGACGGTCCGCCTAACGGTGAGTACTGGATGATTTGTTCTTCTTCTTGAGGGCTGCATATGCTCTTAATTGAGTGTGTGTAGGACTTAAGACTTTTACTGTGAAAAAATTAGAGTGTTCAAAGCAGGCCATCGCTTGAATACCTGAGCATGGAATAATAAAATAGGACTTTGGTTCTATTTTGTTGGTTTTCGGAACCGAAGTAATGATTAATAGGGACAGTTGGGGGCATTCGTACTTCATTGTCAGAGGTGAAATTCTTGGATTTATGAAAGACGAACAACTGCGAAAG